TGCCTGGAGAATCCCATGGACAGAGGAGCCTGACAGGCTACAGTCCATGGGATCGCAAGAGTTGGACACGACTTAGCGACTAAACCACCACCACTACCATCCTTAGTAGTGAGAATATTTAGGTTTAAAAATGTTTATAGGTCTTGAGCTTCCCCTGCAGGGGCTGTGGGTTAGATCCCTAGTCAGGGAACTAAGATCCCACATGCTGTGTGGGTGGAGCCAAGAAATTAATTAATTTTAAAAGCTTATTTATCTACCCAAGGTCTGCAGTTGGGAAGAAAAACCTCTCTTTTTAAATACATTGTACCACCCTCCCACCTTTTAAAAATATCTTAATTGTAAAATACAGCCAGATAGAGAAGTTCACATTAAATAACTACGTAATTTATTGAATTATTGTTAAGGTTGGTATTGTAATATCAATAGATCAAGAAGTAGAACTTTACCAGCCACTGCAGAAGCCTTTTATGTGCCCCATCCTGACCATAACTTCTTTTCTATAATTTTAGTACTGTAGTATACGTTCTTAAACAGTATGCTTTAGTTTTGCTTGTTTTCCCCCATTTTTTCCCCCATGGAGTTTATTTGTTGAAAAAACTAGTATAGTTTGATTTTGTCGAGTTTCTGAGAGGTTTGTTCAAGTTGATATTTGATGGTTTTGGCAGAATATTGTAGATGGTGATGTGTTCTTTCATCAGGAGATATATAAATGTCTGGTAATATTTCTTTTTGTGATATTAGAACTATTGATACTCAATGTTTAATTCTATTAACTCTTTATAGAGATTCCAGATTTAATTTTTCTGATTTTATTATTTCTTCATTTATTGCTGGAATGTTTCTCTAAAGAAGCTTCCCCTCACCTAAGACTTGGTTACCTGGTGGTTCAGTTTATATAAAAGAGGAAGAGCTAGTGTTATTTCCTGTTGTATACCAGTTTTTTAAAATGAGGAGTTGCTTTTCACTGGCATCTTTCAAAGCAACCTCCACTCCCCCCCCCCTTTTTTAATTTATTTATTTATTTTATTTGGAGGATTACAAGATTGTGGTTTTGCCCTTTTTGTGTATCATAAATTCACAAGATTTAAATATATTTCTTTCAGTTCATTTCAGTTATTCTTATTGATGCTCAAATTGTCCCATCTTCAGCCAGTGGGAGCATCTTCAAGTTGGTTTTCTTTCATCAGGGAGTTTATATTTTAGTAAATGTATGTATATATAAGCATATGTATGTGTGCATGCTCTGTTGCTCAGTTGTGTCACCAACTCTTTCTTACCCTGTGGACTGTAACCCATCAGGCTCCTCTGTCTGTAGAATTTTCCAGGCAAGAATACTGGAGCGAGTTGCCATTTCCTTCTCCAGGAGATCCTCCCAACCCAGAGATTGAACCCATGTCTCTTGCATTGGCAGGCAGATTCTTGAACACTGCATCACCTGGGAAGCCCCAATCATGTGTATATGTATTGCCTTAAAACACACACATATACTAAACACATTGTTCTGTATATTTTGGGTTTTACTCTTGATAAACATTTTGATTGTTACCCAGCAGTATTATAAAAAGTACTGCAATGAATATCTTGGTTCTTAACTACTTTGCCCATGTGTGCAAAATCAGTTCCCAGAATGGAATTGTTAAGTAATAATAGCTATTGCCAAATTGCTCTCCTCAGAGCAATTAAGAATTTTTTTGTCTTATGTTTTCCTTTGTTATGTAGTATTAGTATACAATCAAACTTTCTGATCTTTGATAATCTGCTACATTTTAAAAATCTTATTTTAGTTTCTGTTAGTATCTCATTTGTATTTCCTAAATTCTGAATTGTCTGTGTCCTTGGTCCAATTTTCTGTTGAATTGTTAGTCTTTTCCATGTTGATTTGTAGTACTCAGATGTAATAAGAAAATTATCCTTTTGTGACATGTGTTAACAAGTGTGTGTATTAGTGTCTCAGTCATGTCCAACTCTTTGCAATCCCATGAACTGTTGCCCATCAGGCTCCCCTGTGCCTGGAATTCTTCAGGCAAGAATACTGGAGTGGGTTATTTTTCCTAATTGTGTTGTTTCTTTTGACTGTCTCTATAGTTTTCATTTCCTAAGCACAATTTTTAAATGTAAACTATTACTCAAATTTATTAGTTCATTTTTAAACAATCTAAACGTAGGAAAGAGTTTAAACAGTACAAAGAAGTTCCCCTCCCTCCACCCTGAACCCTTCAAGAATAAGTTCCCAGCTTTGCCCGGTCACCTCCTAATACTTTAGTGTGTATTTCCTATTCACCTCGATAACCATACTATACCTATTAAAATCAGAAAGTTAATACTGACACATTACTGTCTTTAGATCTCCATTCAGGTTTCACTAATTGAAATATTTCACTCTTGTCCTAAAAACAAACCTTTAAACAAAAGGATCTAGTTCAGAACCACAGGTTTCAATGAGTATACGTATCTTTTCAATGTCCTTCCATCTGGAACAGTTCCTTAGGTTTTTCTTTGACTTTCAACTTTGATAATTTGAAGATTATTCAAAACAAATTAGAACAAATTCAGATTTTTCCTAGTGATTCCTCATAATTCTGATGTTCCCAGTAGACTTAGGTTACATATCTTTGTCAGAAATATCATAGAAGTGATTCTGTGCTCTTTCATGCTGTCAGGTGACACACAGTTTGAGTATGTCCTATGAATGATGTTTACTTCAATCACTTGATTAAGACGGTGTTTGATTGGCATTTCTACTGTAGAGTTATGGTTTTTCCCTTTCTACTTAATCAGTATTTTGTGTGTGGGGGGGGGGTACTTTAAACATTTCATTCCTTATCAAACTTTCCATTTATTCCTTTATTTATAGTAGAATGAATTTACAGGTTGTCTATTCAGTAGGCTATAATCCCTTTACTATCATCAGTTTTGATACTTGAGCATAGTTTTGCTAGCTAGTGGGTGAGATCATTTGGGCTGATCTCAGTATTTTTTTTATTTTTAACTGTCATGTGGGCTTTCTGTATTTGTGGCATGGAGGCCTCTCTAGTTGCAGTACATGGGCTTAGTTACCCCCCAAGGCATGTGGGATCTTAGTTCTCTGACCAGGGGAATCTATGTCCCTTGCCTTGAAAAGTGGATTCTCAACCACTGGACCACCAGGGAAGTCCATTCAGTGTTCTTTTGACATGTCCTCATTATTCAGCAGTTTCTTGTTTCTGGCACAAGATATTTCAGGCTCACCTTGTATTTCCCTCAACCTAGAATTATCCATTTCTCCAAGGAGCCCTTTTCCCTTTTATAAAGAAGTAAGAAAGTATTCAGAAGCAAATATCCAAATACTGGTCGCGTTCATTGCTATTGGAGTGACACTGCTTCCAGACTTTGTTACACACGTGTGTAATCCACACATTTCCAAACATTTATACATATGTGTATACGTGCTTACCTATTTCTATATCTATCTTTTAAAAACAATGAGTTCACATTGAAAATTCCGGTCCAACAGTGTAAGATGTACTCTTTCTATTTATATTTTAACTCTCTTCTCAGAAGCCTGGCTTCCATTCTTCTTAATTATTTGATCAGTCCGTTGATGTTACCAAGCTTCCAGTTCCACCTTCCCCTCTCCTGTGTCTATAACCTTTTCTGGCACCCTTCCCACACACAAACCTCCTCCTTCTCACCCCTCTTGAGCTCCAGCACTGTATGCCAGACCACCCTCTGCATGGATGCCCTTTCTATCCCAGTTGGTATCTATACTGAATCTACACTATTCCACTTGGTGTTTATAACCTGTACTGAACTGTCCATCTCCATTGACGCACTTCTCACCCTGCTTGCACTCTAACCATGCAGTACTCACTTTTACTCAGTCAGCAAGTGAACATCCTCCTTACCTGTTTTAAAAATGCCTTCCAAGTTCTGTGTCATACCTTTAAAGAATTTACCCACTTTCACATTATAAAAAATAGTTTTGTATTCTTTTTGTGATTTTATTTATTTATATTGTAGGTAAGCATTGTAAATTTTATTTTGAAGTAAGAAATGAAACAGAAATCCAACACTTAAATGGTTATCCAGATGACTAGAATTTTGTATAAAAACTGTATCTCCCCCCCAAAAAAAAAATTATAATGGGCTCCAGTTTCATCCATCTCATTAGAACTGATTCAAATGAATTCTTTTTAATGGCTGAGTAATATTCCATTGTGTATTTGTACCATAGCTTCCTTATCCATTCGTCTGCTGATACCTATTTCTATATCTATCTTTTAAAAACAATGAGTTCACATTGAAAATTCCGGTCCAACAAAGATATTTATATTTTAACTCTCTTCTCAGAAGCCTGGCTTCCATTCTTCTTAATTATTTGATCAGTCCATTGATGTTACCAAGCTTCCAGTTCCACCTTCCCCTCTCCTGTGTCTATAACCTTTTCTGGCACCCTTCCCACACACAAACCTCCTCCTTCTCACCCCTCTTGAGCTCCAGCACTGTATGCCAGACCACCCTCTGCATGGATGCCCTTTCTATCCCAGTTGGTATCTATACTGAATCTACACTATTCCACTTGGTGTTTATAACCTGTACTGAACTGTCCATCTCCATTGACGCACTTCTCACCCTGCTTGCACTCTAACCATGCAGTACTCACTTTTACTCAGTCAGCAAGTGAACATCCTCCTTACCTGTTTTAAAAATGCCTTCCAAGTTCTGTGTCATACCTTTAAAGAATTTACCCACTTTCACATTATAAAAAATAGTTTTGTATTCTTTTTGTGATTTTATTTATTTATATTGTAGGTAAGCATTGTAAATTTTATTTTGAAGTAAGAAATGAAACAGAAATCCAACACTTAAATGGTTATCCAGATGACTAGAATTTTGTATAAAAACTGTATCTCCCCCCCAAAAAAAAAAATGTATTACAAAGTTTTTTATAAATTTACTGAATCCATAGGGCTTTTTCTTAAACATGGGTGTCATTTTCATAATATTTTTGTTTATAACAGATGATGATGTACCTGCAGATATGGTTGCAGAAGAATCCGGTCCTGGTGCACAAAATAGTCCATACCAACTTCGTAGGAAAACTCTTTTGCCAAAAAGAACAGCGTGTCCTACAAAGAGCAGTATGGAGGTAGGCTAAATGTCTGTTTTTGTGTGCATAATGAAAGAATTGTTAGGAAACAAACGGGACTGTTATCATTTTTTAGAAGTAATGATTATGGGTAAAAATATTTTCTTAACTAATTTTCATTTTGTTTTTGAAGGGTGCTTCAACTTCAACTACAGAAAACTTTTTTGGTCATCGTGCAAAACGTGCAAGAGTTTCTGGAAAATCACAAGATCTATCAGGTATTTCTTTTGAGAAAGTTAAGGAATAGGGTAAAATAGTTCTTTTCACTTTGTTTAACAACAAAAAACTAAAGTGTTTATTTACACAGTTGAGATTGAGAAAGCAATTTATTACAGAATAAACTTGAGAACCCTGACCTCCATCTTTGACTGTAATTGTTGTATAAAAATCCTTTTTGTATATTTATTGTAACCAGTTACTGAAATGGTACATACTAGCTAAAAGAAAGAATACTGTTAAGATAAAAAGAAAATAAATGTGTGTCATCTCTGAAAGCAAATACTTATAAAATGATAGTCATCAAAAAATAAAAGCTCTTCATTTAACAAAATGAAAACTATACTCTTTAAATAATGAGAAAGTCTCTGCTAGCATGATAGATTATGTTCTGTTTGTTAATCTTTTTATAGCAGCACCTGCTGAACAGTATCTTCAGGAGAAACTGCCAGATGAAGTAGTTCTAAAAATCTTCTCATATTTGCTGGAACAGGATCTTTGTAGAGCAGCTTGTGTGTGTAAACGCTTCAGTGAACTTGCTAATGATCCAATTTTATGGTAAGTGAAAATGTATTTCTTAGTATCTTGAGATATATTATTTATTGCCCCAAATGCTAAAGGATGGTAGGAAGGTTGGAGTGTGAGTTGATGGTTACAGTTAAATAGAAGAAAATTAGAATACTTATAAATTCTAGTTCAGTTCAGTCGCTCAGTCATGTCCAACCCTGCGACCCCATGGACTGCAGCACTCCAGGCTTCCCTGTCCATCACCAATTCCTGGAGCCCTCAAATTCATGTCCATTGAGTCGGTGATGCCATCCAACCATCTCATCTTCTGTCGCCCCCTTCTCCCGCCTTTAGTCTTTCCCAGCATCAGGGTCTTTTCCAATGAATCTGTTCTTCCCATCAGGTAACCAAAGTATTGGAGTTTCAGCTTCAGCATCAGTCCTTCCAAAGAATATTCAGGACTGATTTCCTTTAGGATTGACTGGTTGAATCTCGTTGCAGTCCAAGGGATTCTCAAGAGTCTTCTCCAACACCACAGTTCAAAAGCATCAATTCTTTGGCACTCAGCTTTCTTTATAGTCCAACTCTCACATCCATACATGACCACTGGAAAAACCATAGCCTTGACTAGATGGACCTTTGTTGGCAAAGTAATGTCTCTGCTTTTTAATATGCT